ATTTTACTGCTTGTCATTCTATTAAGAAATTATATTTTCTAGCAAAATGTTGAATTATCTTCCAAATTGCTTGTGATTGAATACGTAACGTTGTTTTATACTCATTTTACATCGTGTACAAATGAAGAGACAAATGCAAATACATTTCTCACCCTTTTTAGAGAAATGGTGCTGAAGCAGAAACGCACAGGAGCTCTTCGGAATCGGAATGAGATACGTCGAATCGACGAATGGACGCGATGTTTCCTCGTGGGTGACAGCAGTCTCGTCATTCACTACTTTCGGTGGCCGCGACCCTAACTGCTTCAGGTACAACGCGATATTTAGACGAATATGGGCCAATGACAAAGGAACGCGCAGGGTCGACAGTAGATTCTTCAGCGCCACGATAGGTTCTTCGATAATAAACACACATATCAAGATAATCTCACTATATCAAGGTAATGGAAAAGGTTCGTCGTTTCTTTATTTAGGCACTGGACAAAGATTCCGAGTTTTATAAAAGAATTGGGAAATTTCTCTTTTAGATGTAAATTGAAACCAATAATAGTTAACTTTCTAAAAGAAGTGCGCGATCTAATGTCATTTGGAAATAATGCATATATTTTATTTAATTTTCAAGTAATAAAGCTATGAATACATAAAAGTACATATAAATATATAAAGTATATAATATGTATAAATAACACATATACGTATAATTTTTATTCGACTTTATCCTGCAAAGATAAAAGTCTCGTTAGCTAGAATACTCTGTATATATATTATTATAATTTGACCAATTATTCTTCTTAATAAAATTGAACAGATAAATATAATCTAATTGTCATTTTCAATAATAAATAAAAACTTGAAGATGTTTGATCTGTTTTCTCAAGTCGGCCCTGCGGAAGCGATTGATGCGTATCGACACACCCGAGATGCCTTAATTAGAACAAGTAAGGTTCAAGCGAAAACTATAATTAATTGTAACTCTATTGACGTTTGCCAAATCGACGGCAGGTAAATATATGTGCGCTCATAAAGCACCTTTTCCGTCCGTCCATTGATGTCCATTTCGCCAGATTTTCAGATCATGATCGGACTCTCGGAATCAATCCAGAATCTTTGGATCTCATTACAATTTCGTACTCACATTTCCGGCACGTTACAGTATTCCCCTCGCTTCTCTGTCGCGATACCTTTCTCTTGGCAACTCATCAGTGATAATGTATCCCCTCGAGTATTTAACACCGTCGGCGACATTAACGGCAATGGTGACGACAATGAATATTGATCCCCTGCGGTTTAAAAGCGCGTGGAAAATAGCCACCGCACGTTAACGAAACGCTCCTCTGACGCGGATTCTCGTGGACGTAATTTCCTGCGAGGAAATTGTATCCTGCCGCATTCGTCCACGTTCTTTTAAAAGGCCGGAGACGAGAGAGAGGGCGGTTTCAATCGGCTTCCCGACGTCCTTCGGTGAAATAAACTTGCGTCTCGAAGTGTATTACTTCCGAGGACGGGAAAATGTGGATTGATTCTCGAACGTTTTGTAATGTTTGATGATTTGAAATCCAAGAATAAAATCCAAAGCAGAGAAGAAAGCGAGATCCTCATTCGTTTCAGATTCTAAAATTTTCTTTGTATGTTTTTTTATCAACGTTGGATTACGTTATTTTCTCTCTGCGAAAAGGCTTTCGCTTTTAATACGACTTAGTACTTAGTACTTAGTATCAACAACTCGTTTAAAAAAGAAGAGACTATATTCGTAAATAAAGAAGTCATAAGTAAGATGTCGCGTTTGTTTGATATATTAAGAACATTTTTTTACACATGTAAAAATAAAAAAAAGGATTTGGCAGCCTCCCGCATAAAAATATTTTATATTTGTGCTAAAGCTGGTTTTATTATAAAATTCTTAGAGTGAATTTTTTATGAATTTTCCAAATGTAAATTTAACACACACACACACACACACACACACACACACACATATAATATGATTAAATTGATATTTAACGTTTCTTAGAATATAACATATATTATAAATGTTAATTATATTGAATAAAATGTATAAATTTAATACAGTCGGCAAAATGTTAGCAATTGACTTACAAATTGCTGGCAAATTCAATCAAAATATTCAGCAAATTGGTGTCAACTGTTTCCATATTAATCCGATAAAGCTTGCTGATATAAAATGAGAACAAATTGTCGGCAAAACTGTTCAAAACTTTCGGTTTTGGTCAGTTCTTGCTATCAATTTGCTGTCAGATTATCAGCAAGCTTTGCACGATTTTGCTGACAATTTGTTGTTTTATTAGTCAATTTTGTTATATTTGCCACCAATTTGCTGATGTCATTAAATATAACATCATTTACATCAAATTTGATGTCCTTTGTCGGCAAAATTTGTAGCAAGTATTTGAAAAAAATTGTTTTTAATAGATTTGACTGATTTGAAGAAATATGCTTCCACAATTTATTTAATAAAAATTGTATGTAAACACAAATATTATGTAAATAATTAACACCAAAAATGTTATAAAATTAATTATGTACATAATATTTGTGTTACTTGCTAATATATTTATCTTATGTTAAATTAACACAAGAATTTTAGTGGACCATTTAGGACATAATACGAAGTGTTAAATTAATATCCCAACTATGTAGGTGTGAAGATTCAATCTTATAATGTTCGATATTTCAAAGAGAATTTAAGAGGATAATTATTAAAGCTTCGCCAACATCGGGCATTGAACATCAACGGCCATGAAGACCTACAATGTACGAAGCTTCCATTGCGTGAATGGCCTTGGTCGAAGCTGCGTGTTAGCGTCGATAAACGATGTATTGATCGATCCGTTGTATAAAACTTATTTATTTCCTTATTCATTGTTTGTCCTTGTAATCTATTTATTTATTTAACCAGGATCAGATAGCGCAAAAAAAAGAGAGCGGGCGAGCCAGAGAGAGAGAGAGAGAGGAGAGAGAGAGAGAGAGAGAGAGCACGCGCGAAATGAATAGACGTCGGTGTTTGCTCGATTTACCAAGACATATTTACTGGTATACGTGGTAATCGGATTGTGTATGCCAGGAAAGAAAGAGCGAAACATTTCTCTCTTATTGGACATCGTGTAAACCTCCTACCATTACTGTAAAGAAAAATGCAAGATCCAACGAGTTTCTCAAGATTTGTTCATCGAGATGAAATCATGGCCCTGCTATATTGATTGCGAGGGATATTTCTTTTATTAAATTGTAAGAGAATCATATTTCTACATCATGTACGAAAAGAAGATTTTGTTAAAGTATTTAAGAATTTAAAAGTTAGATATAAATTTGAACATAATTTGGAGTATCAAAATAACTATATAGGATGCTCCAACTGGTTGCTTGAATGTCAAAACTTCGTGCATCTAATCATATTTGAGTATCTAATCATATTCCTACATAATTATTTTGATAGTCCATCAAAATTATTTTTTAGATATTACAAAATAAAACTGTTTTTTTTTTTGTGATATATACATTTGGAAAATTGGTGTTCAATTTAATTAACGCATTTCAAATGTCCCAAATGATCCACTCAAATTTTTGTGTTAATTTAACTCAAAATTTGTTAGCTCTATGTTAAAAAGTAATATTCTAACAATTAATATGTTAAAAATTTAACACAAAATTTTTAAAAAGACTTGAATAAACTGTTTTTAAAACAAACACAAAATATTTTTTATTATATAATTTTAAAAATAATTACACAACATAATCCTCTTTTTCTTCTTTAAACAGGTCGAATTCACGAAGCAACTCCGAATTGCAAATTTAAAGGTCGACCTACATTTCGACTCGATCATCCTTGAAACTGAAGAGATTCTTCTGGCACGTTAATTAGAAGATTTCATGGGCAATGAACTGCCCTGATCGCATCACAGAGCTCATTTCGGTGAGTCAAGAATGAGCGTTCGACAAAAGACATTGTGATTGCTTCTCCTGAGATTGCGCGGGCATTTCTCGAGCTTTGTGCTTGCTTCCGCAGCGGTGAGTTTGCAGCGGGGGTGCTCGCTTGGCGATCAGTCATCCGTCGTCCGTCTGCGTCCGCGCTTTCTCGCGCGAGTCGCGATGTGATCCAGCCGACTCGCAAATGACTCGTATTTCTGCCAAAATCCTGTCAACAATCTAAAATGCTTGAGATTAAAAATTCTTTGTGACGTTTTTTATTACTTGGATTACTCGTATTTAATTAAAATAAGTTGTGACGCGACAGAAAATGCGATGTGGAGATTCTTAATTCAAGAAGATTAATCTGCTTTACACACACACGCATTGTGATAGAAATAAAATAATGAATTATGGTTGGTCAATAAAAGATTAAAATTACGTTTTTATTTATTTTATTACTGATTTATCTCCTATTTATTGAAATAAATAGAGAACTAACATGAAACCTTTATGATTGAATTATGTGACTGTTTTTAAAAATTAAATGTAAATTATAAATGTAAATATAAATTCAATTGAAATTATTTTTAATGAAGATATCTGTGATCGAATAATATTTTTTATAGTTGACGCGCGTATAGGTCGCGAGAAAAAGATATGGAAATCACGGTTCGATCAGTGTGACTTTTTTGAACAATGATGCACCTTAATACGCTCGAATATTCCATCGTTACATTGTTTATCCTGTGTCGTGCGAGATAAGGGTCGACCATGGTAGACAAATTGCACGAGTACGAAGGACTCATGGGCAGAATTCATGGTGTTCGCGACACCATCAAGGAACGATGGAGCGTGTGGAAGGAGTGGAAAAACGGTTTGAATCTGGATCAAGGCCTAGATGGGCTGAGACATCATTTACGGGGACCACCCAAATTAGAGAGTACTTTGGACGATTATTCTCACATCTATAGGTGAAAAATCCCACGTTTAGTCAACTGTGAATATATATATATCAGTGTATTTCCTAGTCAAATTTTACTTCAAATTCTTCATATAATTTTTCAGAATTTACACACACACACACACACACACACACACACACACACACACACATACATCAACATTTTTCAGAATTTCTGTATAATTTTGTAACTTAGGGCATTTCTCAAATCTTTTGTATAAATTGGAACACTTTTTAAAAGTAGTAATATTTACATTCACATTTAATAAAATATATTGTAATATTGTACTAAATATATATAAATATCAGTTTTCTTTTTCTTTATTTATTATTCCTAATAATCTCAGAAAGAAGACCCGCGCCGAACTGGTAAGAGTTTCGGCAGCTGTTATGGGGATCGAGTTCTCGTATGCGGCGGAGACGGCTTTCGTCTCGCCGACGTTACTCAAAATCGGCGTCGATCACCAGCACATGACGCTGGTGTGGGCATTGAGTCCTCTTGTGGGCTTCTTCGTGACGCCCATTCTTGGCAGCATGAGCGATCGTTGTAAACTCAAATACGGCAGGAGACGACCCTTCATTCTCCTGTTGGCTCTGGGAGTTTTTATAGGCAAGTCACAAACGTCTTCGTGTCTCTTGATTTTAAGTGATATCGGTGATATTTTTTATTTTCTTTCATTCAATTGCCATTATTCTTATATACATTTCTGTTTTAACGTTTCTGTAGCGTATATTTGAGCATTAAAAGAGGCGAGTGAACTTTTGCATTTTTGCAAAGGTCTCATCTTGGTGCCAAATGGTGAACACATCGGCTATGTCTTCGGCGATACTTCGGTCCATACGAACGAGACGATCCCACTCGGACATCGCACAACGGCGAAGCTACCCGAGGAGGTAATATCCGGATCTGAAAGGGCTTCCTCGCATTCCTGGGGCATCTTCTTCACTATTCTCGGCACGGTGCTGCTCGACTTCGACGCTGACGGCTGTCAAAGTCCAGCGAGGGCGTACCTTCTCGACGTCACTGTACCTGGTGAGTAAAAAAAATGCACACTACTTCAGCTGTAAAAAACAGACTTATCGTTTTCATTTGAATTTTAAATTTCTTTTTCATTTATATAAACTTTTTCATTTATATAAGCGCCGATTACAAATTTGCGGATTTGCAACTAAAATAATTCATAAATTTTGAATTGATCGTTTATTTGGTAATAATATTACTAACACACATATACCTCTCTTAAGACATTGTAAAAAACCTATAAAGAAATAAAATTCGATCTTTTTAAGTACAAATGCAAATATTGAATGTGAAAAAACAAGAATTAATTATACAGTTTGATAAACTCTAAAGGCGATTTTTCTATTTATTTGATTAACGTTTTCACAGAGGATCATGCTAAAGGCCTAAGCACGTTCACCATAATGGCAGGATTGGGAGGATTCATGGGCTACGGTTTGGGTGGCATCAATTGGGATGCCACGTCGCTCGGTGTTATGCTAGGCGGACATCTGCATGTCACCTTTACTCTCATCACGATCATCTTTATCATCTGTGTCATATGTACCATTACCAGCTTTAAAGAGATCCCTCTTGAACTACTCGAACGAGATCAGTGTCGGAAAATGAGCGAGCCGAAGGTGAACTTCGCTTATAACGTGTTGCTTATCATTTTTATTTTTCTTCTGGTAACAAAGTGCTTCATATTTTTCAAAATTTTTGTATAATTTTATTCTTTATTTTTTACATCTGATTTTTATATATGACAAGCTTGGATTCTTCATATATTTCTAAAAATATTACAAGATATAAAATATTTTTTCGTACAGGGTCATTTAATACACCGATATTTCTTTTGTGTTAGGCTTCAGAAGAAAACCAAGGAACAGAGAAAAAACAAGAGGAACGTGAAAAAATCATCCCTGACGAGTCAAAAACATACGGCGCCTTTGATGTTGAGCACGAAACAGATCCCTCTAAAACGGAAGTAAGTTCAGAAATTGTTTTTATCTTGACATGTAATCCAATAGCATATTTCACTTAGAATTCTCATTTTAGCTGCGATTTCATAATTTGACCGAAGTGACAAGCGTTTAACTGCCTAAGCATTGTAAGCGTGGAACTGAAAAATTAATAGGAATATATTTGATAAAGAAAAATTATTAATAAACACCAGTATAAAATTATCAATCAAGGAATTCGTCCTCCGTCCGCTCCAGACGCAACCCTCCGACTGTTCCGAGGAACCAGTCTCCGAAGGCAGTCACATCAATTACGGCTTCGATGATGTCGAGGGTGAAGTAAACCACACGGCATCTTTGAAAGAGTACCTGCTGTCCATCATTTACATGCCACGCAGTCTTCGCCAGGTGTGCCTGACGAATCTCTTCTGCTGGATGGCGCACGTCTGCTATTCCCTATACTTCACGGACTTCGTAGGCGAGGCGGTGTTCGGCGGGAATCCGCAGGCACCCGCGGACACCGACGAGCGTGAGCTTTACGAGGAGGGCGTGCGATTCGGATGCTGGGGCATGTCCATGTACTCGTTGTCCTGCTCGTGCTATTCACTGATCATCGAGCGGCTGATCAAGCGTTTCCGAGCGCGTAAAGTAAGAACTTCGTTACGCTTAATCGACATCAGTATTATACCACTTAGTTTAATGTTGTAATCAATTTTTATCCATTCTTCTTAAAAAATGTATTTACAAATTAAGCATTTTCTAGTGTAGAACATTGTCCATTAGAATTTTAAGATACAAAATATATTTATGTTCCAAACTGTTTATATTTAAAACCTTTTGATTATCAGTTCACTGTAAAGATTAGAAAATCTTTTAATAAATATATTATAAACTTTTGAACTGAAATTATATGTAATTAGTTTTACAGTCTAGAAAGAGTGTTTAAAATAAAAATATCTTTGCTTTTTTTTATCCATTAAATATTTATGCCCATCTAGGTTTATATCTACGGGCTGCTCTTCTATAGCGTCGGTATGCTTCTGATGGCTGTGACGAAGCATCCAGCTGGCGTTATCCTCTTCTCATGGACCGCTGGCGTCATGTATTCTACATTGTTCACCATGCCCTACCTACTTGTGGCGCACTACCACGCGTCTTCGACTTTCGACCTGACGACTGCGGGCGATGCAGTTTCCGGCGGTTTTGTGCGCGGCCTGGGGACCGACGTCGCCATTGTCTCCTCGATGGTATTCCTCGCACAGTTCCTGCTGTCCTGCTGTTTGGGCACGATCGTTAGCTTCACGGGCACTACCGCAGCGGTAGTTTACGTTGCCAGTATCCTGGCGATGTGCGGCGCGGCCTCGGCCACGCAAATTATGTACCTGGATCTGTAAATCTTGCTCGTCAATCGATCAGGCCGTATCGTAAGCCGTTGATTAATGTTTCAATAATTGTTCGTAAGTCAACTTCGCAGAGAAGGTAGAATAATTGTTATATCCGAAGATATAAAATTCCGTTAGCTTATATTTAGATAATGGCAAGATAATTAAGATAATAAGCCAAATGTTAAGCTGGATAGATTATAAGATAATCATAGCCAATTAATCACTGCACTAATCATTAATCAATAATTGTCATTTTAGTGATTGCATTATCTGATGATTTCGTCCGTTTCGCGTCTCAAGCAACTTTGATGTTATCGTATATTTTGCTAGCGAATAAACTATCGATTAATATTACAACCTGCTATGTTTCAGAAATATTTATTTGTTTTAAACAGGTTATATAAACATTTATTTTTCCTAAACAGTTTGAAGTGATATATTATATATCTTTATTGATAACGAGAAAAGACGAATGTGTATACAATGTGTAACATAACAAGTAAATCATCGATCAATGTATCAAGCTCGAATGAATCCAGATGCTCACGTGCGAAGATTATTAATACACTTTTCCAAAATGTCTTTCCTGATCCTCGGATAATCCGTATTCTGTTTCAGCACTTCGTTACACGCTTCGATCGCGTCGGCGTAGACTTTCGCCTTCAAACAACAGTAAGCCAGCTTATAGCCCACCGATAATTTCGTTTTGCCGCCACATTTCCAAGCCTGACCGTATCTCGCTGCCGCTTCACGATAATTCTGATCTTTTTCAGCGATGTAGCCTGAAAATGAAGATACCTTTAAGCCTATTATAAATTTTAAGCCTTTGGATGAACAATATTTCACAACAGAACTCAGCTCAGCGATTGAAATGCGATTCAATATTTTATGTATTATTCCGTATAATTTAAAATCCTAATCTAACCGGAAAGCTCGTGAGCTCGCACGCAGGTAGCGTTGTGCTGCAGCACTCGCTTCAGCAATTCGTTCGCCAGCTCGTACTTGCTGGATTGCACATAGATGTCCGCCAGCAGCAGCCAGCAACGCTCCAAGTACTCAGCATCCTCGAACGTCCAAACATTCTTGCTAACGCGCTTCAAGTGATTTCGGGCACGCGGCGTTTGCTTCAACAGGATGTGTGCGGTGGCCATACCGAGAGCGGGTCCTACATGATCTCTCAAAGTCTCTTGACTGGCCAACGCAGTACAGTCCTGCAAGGCTTTCTCAATATTAGACTTCTGCTTGGTGGCCAATAAGAAGAAATTGCTGAGAAGCTTGTGGGTCAGTTCTTCATGAGGACTACCCTTGGGATTCAATTCCTACAATGTAGTTTTTATTTGAATCATTAAGACAACCGAAATGTAAAAATTTTTGATACTACTACTCTCAGTAGATACAAATGAAACAAAAATTGGTTTAAATTGAGTCACATGTAAGTATTAAAAACCATTAGCTACGTTCTGTTTGAACACTCATTCTATTTATCACTTATTATTTGTGGAAGGAAGATAAAATGAAATTTGCAGCGCGTGAGCGTCCAAACCGAACGCAACCATTGATGTAAATTATACCTGTAACAATCGGTAAGCCGTCCTCAAAGCCATCGTTCTTGAATCCTGATATTCGGTGTCGTCGTCGTTAAAGGCTTCGTTCGATAAAGTAGTGTCGTCGTCCGGATCCAGACAGATCTCGATCATATTGTAGATCGCTTGCTGGCCCCATTCCGGATCGCGTCGTGCAAAATTGAAGTTGCGAAGAGCGGAGTTCAGTTTACCCGTCCTCCAATCCAGCAATCCGGCGCAGTAGTAGAAACCAGCCTCGACATTGCCAGCACCCATCGTGATCTGCGCGCGTTGCAGCCATTCGTCGAGGTCATCCATAGCACCTATGACGCAAATTATAATATATCAATATTATATATATATATATATATATATAAATCAATTCCTGGTCAAAATATCTCAAGCAAGAGTGAAAAGTTTGACAAATGCGAAACCTGTTCTGCGCGACACTTCTATTAGTCTTGCTAGGGCAGTCCAATAGGTAGGTTGACGTAACAGCAACTGTCGAAAATGGAATGCCGCGGTATCGAAATCTACCTTCCGAAATGCGAGATCCGCCATCATCACGGACGCAGCCTCGTTGTTAGGATCGGCGTTCAATAAGATTGAACAATTCTGCGCGCATCGATCCAAGTTATTCATCTAATAAGTATATATTCATATTTCATATTAATATATGAAATCAGGATTTTTGGCAACCATTTAATAAATCAGAGCCAAAGATATTTATTTCATAGATTATTCTATTGTACTAATATTTCCATCAAAAATCAAGACGGAATCAGTGTTGGGATTTTCAATTATTTTTTTTACAAATTTTATATATATTATTCACCTGCATGTATAGCTTCGCCAAAGAAAGTAGGGCATTCACATCCGTAGGCTTATGAGCCAGTGCCTCTTTATAATATACTATGGCTTCGTCATAGTTACGTAAGGTTGATGCATAGTCAGCCATCGTCAGACAGATATTTGCCAGCATATGTTTCTGATCTGCAATATCCGGTGAAACGGCAAGACGTTGAATGTATCTATGTTGATTCTCCTTGGCTTCCTTCAAAGTTGCCAACGCGCCCCTGATATTGCCTGACTTCTCACGCACCTTGGCAAGCAATAACAACTCTTGTCCTCGCATCTCCAAATTTATAATGTCGGACTCGCCTCGTTTATCTAAATAAAGAAGAAGAAAGTAGATATAATAATAATAATAAATATCTATCTAGTATAATATGATGATTAAAAACAGACATTTTTTTTACTTAACATTATTACAAATATAAATATTATTAATACATTATTAATTTTATATATAGTGTTAATTTCATATTTAATATTAATTTTGAAATAAATTTACCTTGTAGCTCTTGCACCAAAGTGGCTTCTGCCTTGTCATACTGTTTCATCTTCATATACAATTTAGCCAGATCTAACTTTAGGGCGGCGCAATTGTCCTGTTTCACTATATCTTTGTAATAACTGATCGCTTTCACGTATTGATGCGCTTTGACAAGCGCTTTGCCCATTTTGTTCGCAATATCCGCCTTGTTGATCGGATTTTGTGAAAGCGCTTGCTCGTATGCCTCTATCGCTCTCTCTGGCTCTTGTATAGACATATAAGCATTACCCAGCATGCTGTACGTCTTTGGTCCAGGACAATGTTCCACCAATTCTCTAAAAGGTAAATTTCAGCGATAATAATATTCATTTCAAGATTTCACATAAATAATATGTCCAATAAATATAAAAACTAACAAAGAAAATAACGACGATGATGAAGATTAATTTCTTGTACCTGAAACATTTAGCAAACGCCTGGCGATCTTTCTTATAGTTCAAATTTATTTCGGCTAATCTGGTGTGTGCCTGCAAGTAGTATGGTTGCCCTGGATGAATGTTCCGCAAGCAACTGATAGCGTTCTCCAGTTCTCCAATGTCTAGATAGACCTCAGCAGTGCCGATGGTAATTCTTCCAAGTTCAGTGGTGCCGGCAAGATTTGTTTTCGCCTCGTCGATAAGTGCCAATGCTTCAGCAAACCGTCTTGCCTTGCTATATGCCGCAATCAACTCTAAATACAATGTCGCTCGGTCTGATGTAGACATATCGGATTTTCTATTGGCGCTGCTAGTCAAGCCTGCCAGCGACATAGCTGTCTGACAGCTCTTAACGCAGTTCTGCAGATCACCAGCCTCTCGTTGCACCATGCCGATGATTAAATGATAGATTGGCTCGTCTCGAATCTTGAAGTTGTAGCTTAGACCAACCTCCAGATTCTGCGAAGCAAGCTGATACTTTCCCTGATATGCCAGAATCTGAGCCATTAAGAGATGGGCTTGCGCATTGGATGGTTCTACCGTATCCAATAATCTCCTGAGCAAGATCAGTGCACCCTCATAGTCGCCACTTTGCATTCTGGCCTTGCTGAGCAGTAATGCAGCTACACTGGAACCCGGACAGGCTTCCACTAGTCGTTCCAACAAGCGAACACTCGGTTCCTTTTCTACTGCGCTACTCAGCTTAAAAATAGGACAGAATGATAGATACAATTTTTTGTTTCCAACATCATAATTAAATAATAAATAAAAATTAAAATGTATTCACTTTTATTGACTTCCTTAAGAAAGATAGCTACCTCGTCGCTCATTGGGGACTTATTCAAAGAATACATCAAACGTTGCTTTGCAATTTCAAGGCATAATCCTGGTTTAAGCTCGCTAAGATACTCGTAACCATAGGGAAAGCCCTCGCTGCTCTTCAACAAGATATTTGCCGCTGTGTCCAAGTGACCGAGTGCCTTAATGCTGTTTTCTTTGGAAGTAATCTTTGCAGACATAAACAGTAACTGGACATTTGTTGAGTTTGGCTGTATCTCCATCATGATCTCCACCTGAAATGCAACACACAAGATAAACTTCTGTAATACCTGCTCAATCTCTCAATCACTTCAACTGATATATCTAGAGATTATTCTTTAGAAGGAAAGAATATATATATATATATATACAGGA